TAGGTGTAGGTTACGAAGAATAATACTTGCAAAGTGATCACATATTTGGAAAAGAAATAATTTTTCAAGAACAAAGATATTTATTTGGACACTTAGACTGTTTTGCAGAGTAAGATTACATTTGCTTTTAAGAAAGTGGAAGTTTTCAGTGGATTTTGTCTGCTAAATGTGTTGTTTTTATAAAAGCGTCCTCACACTGGGCATCATTACAGCGCCGAGTGTATATTAAAATTAATAATTTGTCAGTTAAGTCTTTCTGTAAAGGCTCAAAGTGAGTATTAGGTCCTTTAAAACAGGATGTAACATGAGAGGACTGGATGTGATTGAAAAACCACTTTGGACTGGACTATACTCAAAGATCAGCGTGGATGTGTAAGCTAGGTTTCATTTAGTCTGACTAGTGAGGATAGGGCAAGTGAAGTCAGATAAGGAAAAGATGATCTGGATAATGTTGAGCTCGCTTCATATTACAGATACAAAGACCCATATCTCACATGTTGGGCTGGCTGTGGCTCTGGAGGTAAAGTAGATCATCTACCAATCAGAAGATCAGCAGATTGATCCCTGCCTATTCCAGTCTGCATGTGAAGCAGTTTGTGATCTTTATATGTGAAAAGTGCTATATAAATACATTTTACTAACTGATTTAATTGAGTTCAATTGAACTGAATAGAGTAATGTGCAAAAGAACTGAAATCAAATTGTAACCTGTAAGATCAATTGACAAACAGAATGAGGATCCAAATACACACCTGTGGGAAGCAGGTGGAATTTCAGAGAAGATTTAAGAGAACTGAGTCAAACATGTGAGGAGACAATCAGAAGCCGGTGAAACATATTAGGAGAGAGCAGGTGATCGTGCAGGAGTGAGGAAAAAATAATGCATAGAAGATGTGAGAAGCATGCAGAACATCAGCAGCTGGAATCTCACATAACCATAAAAAGCTCAAAACTGAAGAGCTAAACAGCTGTCAGCTAACAAAGACTGATGTTCCTGATGTTAGAGTCAGGGTCACAAGGCTTAATGTCAGGGGCTAAATACTTAATTATGACAAAAAGCGTCCTTATAAAGGATGCTGGTATAAATCTGTGTGTGTGTCCCGCAGAGGGGATCAGTCCCCTTTTCCTGTTCTGGAGCATCTTGTTGGTCAAACACTTCCCTCAAGAAAGAGTTTTCTCACGCTGTAAACTACACACACACACACACACACACACACACACACACACACACACACACGCACAGTTAAAATAAATACACACATTTGAATCTCAGTAGTGCTTTAATCCCCATCCTCCATCATCTGCCTTTCTGGGGTGTCACTGTGGGTCACAAGTGCTACTTCCTCTTTTGGTGACACAAGGGTCAGAGGTCAAAGTTGAACATCTGTTTGGGTTTTTTTTCTAATGGTGTGTGAGTATGTGAGAACAGAGGAAGAGAGGGTGAGTGGGAGTGAAACCATGGGGGAGTTTAAAAAATAAGTCATGGAGTTATGGCATTTTGTGTGTGTGTGTTTGTGTGTTAACCGTTGTGTGTGTACATGCACACACAAAGCAGAGCCCTTACATCTGTTCTGGGGACTCAAACTCAAATGAAAAAGGAAAATCATAAAAACTTCACTGTAAAGTACTTGATATGGGAATGCTTGGTACGTACAGTCCCCTGAAGTGATGTAAATGTGAGTGTGTGTGTTTGTTTACAGGGCACAGGTCAAATTAATCCCCTGGTCACTTTCTTGGGAAACACTGGTGGATGAGAATCTCCTCACACGTCGCCTAGCCATGCAGTAAGGACACTCTCAGACCCACTGATAGCTCACGTTGTCCCTGTTGACAAATCCTCCCACACACGTCTGGTTTGGCTGCTGCCCCCAGGCTGTGGCCTCTCAGCTGGGACACAAAAGCAAATGGAGTCCCAGGCTCCGTGTTGAGGATCTGTAACCTTTGTAAGAACATATCCCAGCACTACAGGGGTCTCCAGACCACTCTCCCCAGCCCTGGAGGTTGGGTCCTCTCATGGGTGTAAAAGTCTGAGTAATTACTTTGCTTGTGCTTCAATATGTTATTCTTCCTAAGGGAATAGAAAGAGAAGATCCCTTCTTCCTATCTTTTTTGATAAAAAACACTAAATGCATTTTTCTGTTTTTATCTCGAGGCGTAGACTGAATGAAGGCAATAGATACAAAACATTATATGTTTTTGATTTATAGACTGACCGTGTTTTGAGCAGGAAGTCTATAAGTAACGCTCCCCAGTGCTTCTTTCTACTTCTTCCTGGGGTTATCCTGAGGCCTTCCCAGGCCAGACGAAATATTATTAAATGTCCTCAGTATGTTTCAAATCTAATAAATGCTCTAGAAATCCTCTAATAATGGAACGTCTCCATAATGTATCAATTTTAGCTGCTGCTTTGCAGAGCTTCTTATGCATATTAAAGTTCCTCATGTTTTATTCTTTTGTAATCTTATTTCTTTAGTCACTATCCAAAGCTGTGACTCTATTATAGATCCTTGTTATGCTAAACTGGAACATATCTTCCAGAATCAACATCATACTGAATTAAATAAGACTTGACAGTATTGATTGATTCAAAAAAAATCATCAGAAAGGGAGAAGCAGGGGTTTTTCCCCCACTACTTCTATTCAACTGTGCTTATTTTTACAGCGAGAGCATGTGGAATGCGGTTTTGAACTTGCGGATGGGCACATCATACAGTGGGCAGATACATGAGAAGACCTTCTTCGTTTCCTTGTTGACTGCTTCCTTGAGGTCATTGACTGACCATTGACTGATCATGACCCCATGGGTCAACCTGCTGCACTAGACGCAGGTTGTTTTTCTGAGCTCGTTGGTGTGCTTCTTTGAGAAACCCACCCAGAAAAGGCACAGAAGGTAGTCATTGGTTGGCTTCATATTCAGCAGTAATGCTACTTCTTGACCATGGAACAGCATCCTTGCACAGGTCAGGCCCATGCTGTGGAGGTTGGTAAGGCTGTTCATGTCTCGAACATCCCCAGCAACGGAGCTGGAGCACCTGATCGATCAGTGAGCCTCACCTTGAACACCTCCCCCTTCACACCATCTGAGACGATTCTGGATCTCCGAGTCCTGCTGACTGGGGTCTTGCAGAGATTCTGGATGCTGAACATGAGTGGTGCCTTGACACCAGTCCGTCTTGGAGAAAGCGTCCACAGTCTTGGATGGATACTGTCCACTAACTAAACTTGCTGACTTGAACCATAAAACCGAGGACTCAAAATACAGAGTCCAGTCAATTATCATCAGCTATTATTAATCTCTGATTCTCTTCCACAGTTTGTCTTTAGGGGTGTCCAAATTCATAGGCTGTGTCTTTCTGAGGACCTGGCCTTCATGGTCTACGTGGGCCGGGTCCTCAGAAGGCTGGGTAGGCCGGAAATGAGCAGCTGTGAAATTGGACGTCTAGCCTTCAGTTTTACATCACCAGCTGTCTTAGTGGAGTTTAATAAACTCGGCCTTTCTATCTAAAATATAACAGGACACTGGCGTAAATTCTCGATCATCTCACACTTCTGTTTAATCAGTTTGACATTTATTGAGCTATGTGAAACTATAACTTTAATCTCAGCCAAACTGATTTACTCACAAATAAAACACCAAAAAAAGCCAAACAATAACATTTTTAAGTTATCTAAGTGACTTATATATCATGTTTAACCTGAGTAGAGAAAGACTGCGGGGGTTGAAAACGATGTGCTGGGAGTTCGCTGTTATCGCCCCGGCTAGCTATCGAGCTGTTGGGTAACAGACATCTCCAAAAATGTCGGAGCACTTTTGCAAATGTGTGATATCTTGAAAAACCGAGCAGATATTTGAAGTTTACACACCTGAAAATATCACAAAAGTTTATTTTGTGACCCAGAAAGAGTAATAAGAGTAATATTACAACTAGCGGCCGCCATTGTTGGAAACTGGAATTGGCTGGGCCTTACTGTGAATTCTGGGATATGGATACAAGGATACACCCGACGCATCCTTCAAATTTGGGGAAAAGGAGGACACATTTGTTGGCTGCATTCGGAGGAGTACATCACACATCAATTACATCATGTAATCTGCCTACACATGCAGCCTCGGGAGGATGCAGCCTATGAATTTGGACACCCCTGTTTTGTCCTCCCTCCCTCTGGTTCTGCAGGAGATTTCTTCCTGTTATAGGGGAGTTTTTCCTTCCCACTGTGACCAAATGCTTGCTCTTGGGTCAGGGAGTTATCTGATTGTTGGGGGTTTCTTTGTTTTATTGTAGGGTCATTACTTTATAATATAAAACACCTTAAGATGACTGTTGATGTGGTTTGGCACTTTAAAAATTAATGTGAATTGAATTAAGTTAAGTCAGTGATCCTTGATCTGTACAGCTGAATTATCAATTTTTACATATTTAAATTGATATTTTTGGAGCAGTAATTTAGACTGTCAGGTCCTGTCAAGAAAAAAGAAATTTGGAAGGCCTCCAAATTTGGAGGTGTACCTTTTCTACAAATTACCTTCATAACTGTCTTTTTTAACTTTATAAAAATATAATGCACTGAGCACGAGTCTTCCGTTAGGTGTCCCCGTCTTAGAGGTACAATCAGATTGGAAAGCTCCCTCCCTGCACTGTGCCGTAAATAGCGCTTACACTTTTCAAAATAAAATTAATGGGAAAACAATATTTGAAAACTCTACTAACATTGAGTCACTGTTATGGCTCTTATATTACCAACCACACATAAGTTAAAATAGTCTTCATTTTTTTCTCTGATATCATAACCTGGGGGAAAAATTCCTTTATTTCATTTGAAACATACTCCTAATTTGCCAGCTTACAAACAGCATCTCTGAAAAAGGCCGATTTAATCCTGATTTGGCTTTAGTTTGACCTAAATTTATCCTTCTATCATGTACATGAACTATTCCAAAAAAAAAAAGAAAAAAAAAAAAGACAGCCATCATATCTGAGAGTGCGTGCGTATTGTGCCGCACGAGCGCCATAACGGCTTCTGAGCGGACACGATAGTGGTCGTAATATATAGGCATTTCCTGTCACCGAGCCTTCAGTATAAACCGCAACCATAATAAGACACCTCGAACGGGGATAAAGACTGCGGAAGAGACGCCGTGACCCGTAAACCTGCGTCAAAGGTCGGGTAAGTGCTGGGGTGAGCTCTCCTTCTTTATCCTTCTGTCATTCGTAACCAGGCTACAGCATCCTCAGTGTGCCGTAACACGACGTCTTAACTGAGGACGTTAAGAGATGGTGCTCTGTTGTGAGAGAGCCAGACTTCATTGAGCATTCCTCCAGTTTGAGTCGATTTGGCTCTTACTACTGGCGCGTAGCTTCAAAATAAACAGTGTAAAATATCGGAGTCTTTGAGATGCGAGTCTTCATTTCGGCACAGTGTAATGCACCGTGCACACACAGTTCAGGAAAAAACAATGCGTTTTGCTGCTGGTCGTGGAAGGAGGATTGGTCGATTACAAGCGGTACAGTTTAAAAAGTTTAAGGATTTATAAATTTACATCTTATTATTATTTCAGTTATTCTTGCCGAATATTAGATTGGATCACATTGATTTAGAAAAATCACACATCTTTATAATATGTCTGTTTTTACTGGTCCGCGTGTTGAAAGTCTTCCAACTGTTTGATTTCTGAATGGAGGTTTGTTGATATTAATGCGTGGCAGGACTGAATCACAATGAAGGACACTGAATGACACGTGAAAGTAAACCCGATTGATCCTCCCTCCCGCTCCATCATATTTTTTTAGGTATTTCTATGCATGCAAGACTTGAACCTCGTCCTTCTGAGTGCAGCAGCTTGCATGAATGAAAGACAATACAGTCGATAATGTGCTCTCTTCAGTGCGCCCGCTGACCTCATCAAAGGTCCCGGTCTCTGTTTTAATGCTAAGCATAGCAGTTTCACGTGTGTACCCTGCAGGCTCTAGGATTCACTCAGGTTTTAGGGATGATCTCCCACATCAAGCTGCTGTGTGTGCAACCACACGAAATCAGATTAAAGAGTTTAAAGTGTCCATCATTATAAATGTGCACATGCCAAAACATTAGAGCAGGTTGAGGTCCCTTAAGGATAGTGTCATATTTCACCTTGTTAATTAAAATAGCATTATATTTACTCTATTTATATATATCATATCAACTAATTCTAGTTATTTTGAATAAAATATTAATATAATGACTTTACGCATCTGTGTGATTTACCTAAAACATGTTTGATTTTCCAACAATATTCATACAATCATACAGACAGATTGTTTGTGCTGTAGAGGTTTAAATAAAAGTACTGCACATGATAAAAGTAGATATGCCAGATTAAGCGATATTTCTTTAGCTGCATGTTTGTAAATCCACTTTGCTCTTGACATGTCAGCAGACTGTTGAGGAAGCCTATAATAAACCTCCTTCTCACCCTTAAACTGGTACAAGTTTGGAAATCTGATAGGAGGTGACTTTGTATCAAGCTGTCTGAATATACTGAGTTTTGCTGATTTTTATGAGGTTTGAACCTTCAAAATAAAACTCCTTTTTTTCTTTTTAACTATAGGGATGTTCAGTTTATAAAAACTGCTGAGCATACAACACAGTCTGAAGGGCAAAAAAGGAGACAAATGTAATGTGGGATCAAGAATATGTGTAGTGAAATTGAACACAAACAATTTAAAATAATGAGTGAAAATGACACAAGGACATTTTGGTTAGGTTAGGTGCATGCATTTAGCATGCGTACACATGATGACATTATACATGTGCAGAGAACAAACCAGATGTCTGTATTCAAAGCATATATAGTATTTAAATATTTAACTGCCTCAATATGCTGGTTTTAGTATTACTTCATGTTATTCCTGCATTGTACAAGGTGTTTTAAAAAAATGGGGTGTAAAGTGTTGAATCTACATTGTTGACTTTAAGACTGTTGTGTCACATGTGCTGGTAATAACAGTGATTATTTTAAAAAAAACTAAACAGTAAATATCTTATCTTACAATCTGCAATTGTTCTTTTTGTGTACTAGTACAGTTCTAGTCATCATGAACTCGTATTTTAAATTGAACTAAGTTGCCAAAAAGATAAACTATAAACTAAGGTATAGATAAATGTAAATATAGATATTATAAATAATGATCTTCGTATTATATTTTTCAAAACCACTAAATTATTATATGGACTGGTTCTTCTTGTTTATTCTATCTAAATAAACTGCTTTCTTACTCCAATTAGTAGAAACCTGTTCTGCATCAGGAGCCACATTATGGAAATTTGCAATGAGAGACAATTAGCATTTTTCTATATTTAACTGTGGATTGTGAGTAATTCAGTGTAAGCACATCCACAGTACTCAGTTTATTTGCAAATACAAAGGTTTTATTTTGAAAGACTTGGATGGAAGCGTTTCTTCATACATGATGTAAGCTGACACCATCTACACAGACAGGCAGTAGTGAGTGGAGCAGCTGAATCTCTTGCGGAGCTAAAAATAATCAACTTTTTCCCTCTCCAACTCTCACCGTATTTTGTTTCTGTTCCTCTCCCTCCTTTCTTCCTTTCTTTTTTCTTTCCTTTGTCTGTTTTCCTTGTTTTTGTTTTTATTTGCTTTTTTTTTTTTTTTTTTAAATTCAAGCATTCTGAATGAGACGGTGTTGATAAGGCTTATTACTTTACTCTGAGGTAAGACACTTGGTTTTATTACGCTACCATTGTAGTTTTTCTTATTAAGATGCTTCAATTTAAACAACTCTAAATTAGGTTCCTGAATTATCCACATGTAGTTTAAGTACTGGGCTGTAGTGTAACGCAGGTGTTCAAGGTTAACTTAATTGTACTTCCAAGTTAAATGATCCACGTACATTAATTACATCCTTCTGTGATGGTAGTAAAAGGGAAAGTAATACGGTAATAAATAAATAAGTAAAGAAGTTAACAGTAGGCAGAAATTTGAGGTGAAACTCTGCTTGAAACGATACACTTCTTCTCCTGTAAGTCACACAGTGATAATTTCTCAGCAATAAGGCAACAGAATGCTGTGTAGTGGCTGCATATAAACGTTGAACGTAACCGCCATGTAGTCATTCAGTAACTAGCCTTTGCATATTTAGGCCTCAACATTAGCATTTTGCCAGGTGTCATGTTAGTTTTCTGAAGTCAGAAGTGATAACGAAGTATAATAAGTGATTGGAAGTGCACACAGAGGGGCACTAGCTATTGGCATGCTTGGGTAAAGGTAATTTAAAGGTAAAGGTTGGTGCATCCAACTCTACAGATGCAAAACCCAGAGCACGTAACTGCTAATTCATGCTAAGTAAAAGATTTGAATAAAATATGTTTTTTAGTCACGAAAACTTAAGCACAGAATTCTTGGATGAGTTGTACCTGACAGCAAGCCATAATTACTGTTCAGATAGTCCCATTAAAAAATGCTTCAGCAGCACAATCACAACGTCCAAGTTACTGAGTAGAATTAGCGAAGGTCTAGCAGAGAGCTAGAAAGTGGTCACACCCCTAACCGTAATATTTAGCAGTACAACGCCAGAATAGGTCATAAAAATGTCACTCCAGTACAGCTGTTATAAGGGGGTAACTATCCAAAGAGGCAAAATCTGTTTTTCGTTTTTTTTTTGGTACCAGACTGTAAAGACTGTTTTCTGTTGTAGTTTGATCATTCAATATGGGGGCATTGGGTGTTGAATCACTTTTAGAGACAGCCTCAAGTGGTCACTAGAGGAACTGCAGTTTTTGGCACTGGCTTCATTATCAGCTCTGGGCACTGCTGCCATTTCTACATAAGATAGAGATATGATTCTTTAATAAAAAACAAAACAAAAAACTGTTTACTTTAATATCTGGTGAGTATTTGGATTTATTACCAAGTATAAATATTAGCTATTAGCTTAGCATACTGCTAACTGTCATCTGTTAGGAGGTGTTTAATAATCTACTGATATTTTTCACATTTTTCCCCCTTGTGTTTGAGGCATATCATATCTGACTTTGTTACAGAACTAATTTTACAAAAGGGAAAAAAGACATGTTTAGTTAGAGTCAACGCTAAAACAGCACACTTCACATAAAGCCAAACCTTTGTAAATAAAGTTGAAATTTGGGGAGTTGTTGTTTCAAGTTAAACAGCTGCCCTTGCTGTTACACCCTCTACAAAAAGCCTTGTGTAGATGAATTAGTGAAATTGTGCTTCAAAATCAGTTTTAGTAATAAAGAATTATTTATGTTGTTGTGATAAGTATAAGGACGTTAAAGAGATGGTGCAGAAATCGGCATCTGGTCAGAAGGAAAAACCCTAAAACCTGGAAGACTTGGCTGGATTCCCACAAAATGAAGTAGCTGGACAGATTCAATGATACCAATGGTTACACACTCATCCACTATAGTGCGGGTATGTTATACCATAAAATATAATAATTAAAAAATAGTTTCAGTTAAATAGTTAAATAGTTTCAGTAAAATGAACAGTAATACATTTTTTCCTAATGTGGCCCTAATACTCTGTCGTAGGCTGCAGACTTTTCTTTTTCTCTTTTGTTCTATTCTTGGATCTTTATGATGTCACGAGTAAAGTCGAGTGCATTTAAAAACGGCAATCGTTGACCAAAGCATCAAGGAATACAAATGAGTTTTCAAACACATTCTGACGATGTTGAAGATGTGCTAGTGAGGTCACAATTTTAACCCTAACCCAATGTAAAGAAGGAGGGCATTCATGTCACAGATTTGAATCCCAGAGCCTGGGGTTATTGGCTCTGCGCATTAATCAATTACAGAAGTAACAACGGCATCATGAGATCTAAGACGAGGCTTTTCCAAGTCTTAATATTCACTTAACATTAAGCCACCATAAGCTGCACATAACTGGACGGTGTCCCTGAAATAGCTCTCATGCCTCTCAGAAGCCTGAGTGTAGCACCGAGAGTGTGTGTGTACTTTGTGTGTCAAGCCACAGAAATGTCTGAACTTCAAAGCAGCTGCTGCTGCAGCAAGATTACATAAAATGATTATTTTTTTATAAAAATAATCTCAATTGTCTTTAGTGTGGTTTGTGATGTGTCGGCTGATTTTGGGCCTTATTTTCCCAGACTGACTCAGGACTCATATGGAGCAGTTGGATAGCGGCAGGGCCTTGTCATTCTGTGGCAACAACAGCACTGCCTACAGTGTGAAAAACGGCGTGCTGAACAATCCGTGCTTCGTGGATGCTCTCAACCTGGTTCCTCATGTGTTCCTGCTCTTCATCACCTTCCCCATCCTCTTCATTGGTATGTAACACACTGCTGAATTTGTGACTCTTAGAAAAAAAAGTTTTTCTTCTTGGAAACTGCTTTTTAATTTTTCATGTAATTAATGGATGATAAAATGGGCTCTTAGAGAACAGAGTGGGTTGATGGTGTGAAGAGTAGCACAGGGAACTGTGACTGAGAGTGTGGAGAACTAATCTGAGCAAACAGGGAAATCTGGAGGACAGCAGCTGATTTGGATGGGTTTCAGGCTTATGCAGCAGACCAGAGGGGGGCTGTAGACTTTGTTTTCAACTTTTATAATAATTAATTATAATAATTTTTGAAAATGTGGGCTTTTTTTTATTGTAGCTAACTGTTTGGTATACTTTATTGATCCCCGTGGGGAAATTCCTCTCTGCATTTAACCCATTCACTCAGTCAAGCAGTGGGCAGCAGTGTGTAAGGACGGTACCTTGCTCAGGGGTACCTCAAGGTAGCTGTTCAGGGGAATCGAACCCCTGACCTTCCGATCATGGGGCCATAGCGCTACCTACTGAGCTATCCCTGCCCAAATTATTAAAAAGTTTAAAACTTCAACTCACCACTGTGTACTAAGAGGGCCTGACACACAAAATATCTGCTAATTCTGAGGGTGTCAAGTGGGAGCTTTTTTCACATTTGTTATGGAATGATCCAGGTGTATTTTGAAGGACTAAATAAAGAAAATAAACATTGTCACAGGTAAATACTTATCTGCATTATTAACACAAAAGAGTTTTGGTATATCTGCAGCATAAAGTCACAGCTGTGGACCCTGTGTTATGTTTTAGTGTTCCCTGCTTATATCTCTTAAAGCTTCGCCTTCATTACTGGAGAGTCTCAGAATTCACTACAGTTGTCAAGACTGAACTAATCCAGTGAGGATTACTGGATCTGAGTCAAATAGACTGTTTTGCTCTTTCTTCTTATTGTGTCACATGCACTTCATTGTGTTTAATGGATATTGGTCTATACATATTCTAGGTGTCAGTTATTGTTTTTTGATAAGCATTTTGAAGCCTCTGTATTAGTGTTTTGGCTCCTGCTGGATTTTGGACCCAGATTTTTGGGTGAGAGTGCTATCATCTGAGGCTAGTAAGCTGTATTAGCAAGCTGCATTTATGTAAACTATGGGTGTGATGTGGAGCTATGTTGTCAGGAGCAGTTTGCTCCTGGTAGAGTCTCCTAAGACAAATTGGATCAGGGTGAGGTGTCAGACAAAAAGCTGACAAGCCCTATGATGAAAAACAAAATTAAGACTCCAGTTTACCCTGCATAGGACAGGGTCAATGGGGCCCCACACTGGTGCCAGAACAGAGGTAGGCTTTTTGCTACTTGTATAACAGTTTTTTTTCCCAGTCATTGAGAGCGTTGCTTCCATGCACCTTTAGGCCGGGATCATCCCAGTATTCTTCTTCTTGTCCTTTAGCGGACGACCAGCGGCGGTGGTCAGCCGCGCAACCAGTACGCTGCTATAGGTGCCGCAGGTTCTCTTGCTTGACCAACGATTATCTTCCACGCTTTTCGATCTAAGGCGATGGTTCTTGCCTGCTCGAGGTCAAGTCGAAGGGCCTTCAAATCATCCCGGATTTGTTTCATCCATGTCTTTTTTGGTGCATTTCGATGCACCCTCCAATCGGTGGGGCGGGTCAACCAGAGTAGGCCATGGGGGTAGCGGCTCTGGTCCATTCGACAAATGTGGCCAAACCAACGGAATCGGCGGCGCTGGATTAGGTTGCCAATCGTCGGTTGGCTGCCGCAGCTGGTGAGGATGGTGTCATTCGAATGATGGTCGTGAAGGGAAATGCCGAGAACGCATCTAAGGCAACGCATTTGGAAAACTTCGAGCTTGCTCAGGTCGTGTTTGAGCATTGTCCACGTCTCCGCGCCGTAAAGTAGAATGGGCATGATCAGGGTTCGTTAAAGGCGTACCAGTGCAGGGAAGCGAACGCTGCCACCGCCTGCCCAATCCCAGTGTTACTGGGAGGAACGGCCTACCTGATCTGACTGTTATTGAACCTCTGTACTAATGACATTTGGTTAGTTGATTTTTGTTAGCAAGTGATTAATTGCGTAATAGTCATCCTTATAATGATGAATCAGGGACACTGATGTTATGTTTCAAACATTTTGAACTGCAAAAGTACCAAATTTGATCCAACAAAAATGAAGGCCCTGTGGGGTAAAATAAAAAACTAATATTTACTATGTCATAGTATTAGATATTTTAAGAAACCATTACCTTTGGGATTTAACTAAAATTAATCAATTGTTACTTGTGAGATTGGAGCTGATTGGAGTTTAGTTCCACACTCAATAACATCTCTATTGCTCAGTGAACTCATCATTTCCTTGCAGTTATGACGTTAAGCTGAGAAAGGTCATGGGGTTTATGGGAGCTGACATTTGTTAAAGGCCAAAAGAGCATCTTTATTTAAAGTATGAAGCAATATGACAGCGTCTCAACTTGTTTCTCAACAGCATAGGAGAAAAAGATTTGCTTCAGGGCTGGATTTAAAGTCAGTATGTTTCAGTAATGTTTCGGTAACATTTGTATTGACGTTTTCTTAGTTCAGAAATTCTGACTATACTTTAGCTCTTTTTAGGTCTTATAAGGTTTTGAAGAAGGTTCAAATATAACCAATGAACTGATAGACCGGGACCAAAAAACCCCTATATTGGCCTAGCCATTTCAAGTCAAGATTTCAGCTATGAAGCAAACTGACCAAACCCAGCAGTCGTTAACAAGCATTTTTTTTCTTGTAGTCATTATTTTCCCATCAAAGAAAGCATATGAGGCTACTGAAAGAAGGAGGAGAACTTAATTGCATGGGAAACATGGCAGGAAGGCAATGATCATAAGGCCAGTGTGATTCATTCGTGTTTACGACTAAAAATAGATGCTTGTGAACTGTAAAATATGTTTAGGAACATGTGTATGAATAAAGAAAATATAGGTTTCAGCCAAGCAGCCCCTATAGTTTTTAATACAACACCAGTAAAGATGTTCTGCACATTTAGATTACTTTTAAAATGAACAGTATAAATGTACTAATAAATTATATCCATCCATACATCCACCCAGCTATTTTCTGCCACTTATCACTTTAAAGAAATGAAACCTTCATGGGATAGTAAAATATATAAGGTGACATTAAAATAGTGATTTACTGACTTCAATTGCCTGACAGGGATGTGGTCAGAAAGTATCTGGAAAGAAAGTAACAAAACCCCTTTTCTAGGGCTTTGAAGTGAATGATGAAATCCCTTGTCTGACCTGTCTGAGCTGTGTTACTGTAATCTTCTATTCTAGCATGACTCTGTGTAATCTGACTGACTGAGCAGACGTGTGGGTGATTTTTACTTTCCCTGTTGTGCTCGCTCTCTTGGGAATACACACATGTGCACTGTTTTTGCTATCTTTGTGCGGTCGCTCATTGACATGATGCGTTTTCTTGCCATTTACCCCAAATTTAACCCCAGCCATTAAGCAAAATCTTAACATGAAAAATGCAAATGTTTTGAAGATCTGTCACATGTCCTCCTATCAGATATGTCCTTGTGATAATAGTTTTGAGACAAACATTGGTCCTCAGAAAGATAGCAAAACACACACACACACACACACACATTATAATTTCAGAGGACAAGCATTACATTAAAAATATGTTTTTATTTGTAAATGTGATGATTTCTGATATGATTCATGTTTAAAAAAACACATCTCCGTCTGTAAAAAGAAAAAAGCGTTAGGTCCCCACAACATGACAAAAACTTGGAGCACACACACATACCCTTAAAGGCAGTATATTGACATGTCATCGTTAAGCTGCTTTGAGGAGTGGTTAAGATGGGATTAGATCGATGGTTCAGTGATCCACTGGGATCTTGGCTGTTGTTGCTGGAACAAGTAAAACACACAGGAACAAAAGAGCAGTCAAAATGAGTACTGGCAAATTATTAATAGAGAATATTGTGTGGATTAGGTTTGAAAATATTAATATTCAAGTTCCTACACACCCATTTACTCTTCGTTTGATTTTTCCCTTGTTAAACAATGAAAAGAAAACTAAATATGAGTAATGACAAAAAGAAAAATGCCAGAAAAATTAAAGAAAACAGAAAAGAAGTAAGAAGAAAGAGGTTGAAGAATGACGAGGGAAAGATCAAACTAACAAACAAGAATGAAATATGTATTTATTAAAGGTTTCGAGTCATTGCAGGGAATAACTTACTGAATGCTTGGCTGGTTATCTGTGTTGTTTGCGTTTGTGTGTCTCGGTGTAGTCAGTAGTTTATGGGAATGGTTCTGACCATAAGCCCTCAGCTCTCTCCCCAAGGACTCACTAATTGATGCTTCCTGGTTGTAGTTTTTCATGGTCTCTGTGCCCTAAGGCTCCAAGATGGCTTCAGTCCATTGAGTTAAGAGCAGAATCAAATCTAATAATAGAGACTGGTGGAATAAATGAAACTCTATTACTAAAGCAGCAAGACTTTAATTACATGTAGAAGTAAATGCCGTAGAAAAAAGGCAGACTTGGAAAAAGTCCATATGCAAGTAATTTGATAATTACATACTTACTCAAATTTATTTTCAAGCACAGATAGTAAATATTTGATGGGTACAAGATTGCCTAGCATGAATTTATTAAGAATATAATTAGCAGTTTGGACTTTAACATAATTAGTAGTTGCTGCCTTATTGAACGACTGTATCATTGATTGAATATGTCTCAATACACAAGGTACTTGGTACCTGAATATACACTCACCTGACACTCTATTAGGTACATCTTACTTGTACTGGACTGAATTATTTTTTGCCTTCAGAACTGCTTTAATTCTTCATGGCTTTGATTCAACAAGGTGCTGGAAACTTTACTCAGAAATACTGGCCCATGTTGATATGAAGGTATAACCATTGCTGAAGATATTTTTGGGCTGCACATTCATCATGTAAATCTCCCAATTCACCACATCCCAAAGGTACTGGGTAGTATTGAAATTATGGAGACCATTTAAGTAAAGTCAAATCACCATAATGTTTAAGGAGCCAGTTGGAAATGATCTGAGTTTTGTGACATGGCATGTTGTCCAGGTGGAACCACCTTCAGAAGATGCTTATGCCAAATTTTGACCCTCTAATCTTAATGTTGGAGCAGAACTTTGGACTCATCATGGTGAAAAGACAGATTCTTATATAATGCATTTCTACTTTACAAAAGCACTTTCTACCTAGTGTTTGGCCACATTCATACGCACATGAACACATCGGGGAGGAGCTTGGGGTGTAGTACCTTCCCTTAGGCATGCGATTTTGAGTAGCCAGGGGTCAAATTAGTAGATGGCCTGCTCTAACTCCTAAGCTACAGTCATCTCAGTCTCTCAAACCTCATCAGACCAGACAACGTTGTTCCTACTACTGTCGAGTTTTTGTGAGCCTGTGTGAATTGGCACCTACATTTTCTGTTGTTAGCTGACAGGATTGGCACCTGGTGTGGTCTTCTGCTGCTTCAAGGTTTAATGTGGTCTTCTACCTTGGTAGCTACGAGTGGTTATTTGACTTTCTGTTGCCTTCTTATCAGTTTGCAGAAGACTTATCATTTTCCTCTCACTTTTGGCATCAACAAGGCATTTTCGCCACTGCTCACTGGATAAGTTATCTTCTATGGGCCATTCTCTGTAAACCCTAGAGATGGTTATGTGGGAAAATACAAGCAAACCAGGAGTTTCTGAAACACACAGGTCAGCTCATCTGACAACAACCATGCCACATGGAAAGTCAGTTAAATCACCTTTCTTCCCCATTCTGATACTCAGTTTGAACTTCAGCAGATTGTCCTGACCATGTTTACGTGCCTTAATTTGTTTTAATTTGCGGTCAATTATTGTTCCAATTTGCGTCAAAAAGCAGTCGAACAGGTGTACCCAGTAAAGTATATTAATATACTAGTGATAGTTTCTCTTTGTCTTTTTTAACTGCCAGAATATATTAATATGTTAAGATTTGAAGGTTAAATCTGGTCCTAATTTATCAAAGTATTCGCTATTTTGTATGGTTGGAACTAATATTATGCATTACTTCTGTGACTTTTCACAGTTGGGCTCTTTCTAGATTGCACATGCTTTCAGGACCTCTTTTTTTTTTACAGTTTTTTTTGTAACATAACATGAAATAAATATGACGTGAATTTTGTTGTCCTCCTAAGTTAACATATCTTCCCAAAAGATTCCTGATGCATTTAAAAGCGTGGTTTGGAGTTGTTTTGATCATACACACAAATGCAGAGATTTTCAAAGGTCAAAGTTGTGATGTCATGTGTGATTCATGTTTATGTTTAAAGTTATTTTCTTCATCCGTGAACAATGATTTTCACTCGGTTATGACATGAATATAAACCAGCAGAATTACTTGGAGAGTGTAAGTAAATTGATGCAAATCAGTTGTGCTTTGAAGTCACATTTATAAACACATTTTTTGGATCCACCATCTATTTTTTTGGCTTCTGTTATGCTTTTCTGCACACACTCACACTCACACACAACATCGCAAGCTCGGATTCACTGTCTTGTGTTTTTGTCCAACAGGTTGGGGCAGTCAGAGCTCTAAAGTCCAGATCCATCATAACACATGGCTTCATTTCCCTGGGCACAACATGAGGTGGATCCTCACCTTCTTGCTGCTATTAGTCCACGTCTGTGAGTTTTCAGAAGGCATCGTCTGTAACATGTGAGACCTCAGAATGTTTTTTTTAATCAAACATAAGCAAATAAAAAGAAGCTTTTTTTGTTTTTTAGTTGTCTTCAGTTAAATAAATGGTTTGCATGTTAATTATTATATATTTTGTGTTTGCCTCTTACTGTAGGATGATGGGTACCAACCACCTCCATCTCTTCATGCCAGCATTCATGGGTTTTGTAGCAGCCACAACATCAGTCGTTTACTACCACAACATAGAAACATCCAACTTTCCCAAACTGCTGCTTGGTAAGACAGTGAGGGGCGCTTAATATGACCCATTTTGTTTATTTGACCAAATAAACAGCCAAGGAATTCTGCTCAGTCACTATAAAAGAGGATAATTAAGATTAGCATCCCTTCCTTAATTAAAACAGAAAAAACAAAAATATAAACCAATTAACTTGGTCTCAAATGATCAAACTTCCCTTTGGAATTTTAGCAAATAATTATAATCATAAAACAAAATGCATTCAGTCTCAGAAAAACATATCAGCAAGGCTGAGATGGTGTGAACGTGTGCAGAGGAGGAGGAGAGTAGATGTGCTGGACAAAGAATGTTGAAGATTGGCAGGAGGAAAAGAGAAAGACCACAGATAGGCTCATGGATCTAGTGAAGGGGGACATGCAGAGGTTTTGTGTGAGGGAGGAGGATGCTGGGAATAGGGTGAGACGATCTGATCTGATCTGATGTGGGGACCCCCTAAAGGAATGAGCCAAAGATGATCTGAATTGGAACTCAAATAGAAAACTACGTTGGCCACAGTACAGACATGGGAGAAGGAATATTATTAAAAAGTAAAAAGGGCAGGAGGTTGAGTGAGGAGTATCTATCAAAAAACGTACGCTCATTAGATGCAAGGATGTTTCAACAACAATGGCAGGTTAGCATGTGGATGTTTTGCAGACATTTCATGTGAAATTTGCTAATCCTAAGAATATAGACGTGTCTCGCTAGAGTTCATCCACTTTCTCAGCATTTCCTGAGATTATTTCCTCTGTTTGCTAGGTGGTATATACTGAATCTATAAGCAGGTGCTTCTCTTGAAGGCTTGTGAAAGCAACATCAACACTATCTCCATCCACTATCTCCATCCAGATGAGTGTTTTAGCTTAGGTTCATGTATAATCTACAAACATTCCGCCACACTGGCAATAAAGTGGACACTTAAGCAGCAGCTATTGCTGACAAGTTAAAGATCAAAAGGTTTATTGGGTAATGACAAGCCAATAGGGAAGGAGATATCAGTCACAGTGATTCTTGGGGACAGTTCAGGTTACGCCAAAGAGAGGTGGTCCACAGAACTGTTTAAGAGGGTTTTGCTCAGAGTGTGTGTGGTAGGTTTGGGCAAGATACTTGGAAAGGGGCCATTTGTCTGTTTTGCACCATCGAATAGAGTTGTTGCATGGTGTGACGGCCAAAGGGTGGGAATCCGAGACTTCACCTGGACTCAGAGAGAGTGGAAAAACAAAGCAGTAAACAGACCAGTGCGAGTGTGACATACAAATTATATTGCACGTTTGAAAAAGCATGTGAATTGACCATACACTTGACCATAAAAACTGGGAATGTGCATCCTGGTGTAAACAGAAAGCAAAGGCATGCCCAACTAGAAATGAATGGTTGATGTTTTCATGGTTTCCAAGAGTCCTATTTTCTGCATAGTCAACACTCAAAATAGACTTTTAATATCTGCTCCCTGGGAGGAGTTCCAAAAGGTCTGTTTCAATGACCTAAAGTTGTTTTTGTGTGGACAAGAGGCCAAAATACAAAAAAAAAAATCAGCTTTTTAGGGTACAGTATGATCTTCCAAAGCACAAGTATGATAGCAGTGATGCGGCATCTGTGACTGTCATGCTGCTTTTTGTCTCTTTTCTCACAGTCCTTTTCATCTACTGGGTGCTGGCATTCATCACAAAGTCCATAAAGTTGTGGAAGTTTGCCGAGAACAAAGGTGCAGCACAGTATCTCAGGTTGTACATCACTGCACTGTTAGTGATCCTGTATGGACTTCTGATGGCCGTGGAGATCAACGTCATCAGAGTGAGGGTGAGGAAACACATTTCACGCTACGTCGGTTTAGTTCAAGGAGCTTTGTTTCTTGTAGACTGCAATCATCCTGGCATCCCAAAATAGTTTTGTTTTTCTTGTTTTTTCCTGCGTAGATTAATTTTGTCTTTGTGTCTTCTTCTAGAAATATGTATTCTTTGCGAACCCTCAGAAAGTTAAACCACCAGAAGATTTACAGGATTTGGGGGTTCGTTTTCTGCAGCCTTTTGTCAACCTGCTGTCAAAGGTAGATTTTCAGAACCATTATTAACACAAAAAGGTTTAAATGCAAATTTTAAAGTATATAATTAAAATAATATTTAGACCACAAGTACTAAAAACCAAGAGATCCAATGTTTTAATGGCTCGTAACCCGTGTGGTGTCCTCGGGTCAAAAATGGTCCCTAGGTGAATGGCAAACAAGTATATGGGAATCCCGAGGACACCACATGGTCAATATTGAGTGGGGCAAATTTTTACTGGAACACAACTTGGCAGCACAGCACAGAAAATTCTTGGCTCGTTTTTTAGGCGACATATTGGTGGATGAATCCTCTCATCATCGGAGCCCATAAGAGGCCTATAGAGCTGAAGAAGATCGGCAAGCTGCCCATCGCCATGAGAGCCCTCACCAACTACCTGCGGCTTAAAGACGCCTATGAGGATCAGAGGGTGAGCAGATGGAGGCCGTAAAATGATTTAATTTCACTGCAGTGATTTCCAGTGGTTGTTCTAAATTAAAATATACAGATCTAATTAATTTCTCTGCTTTTTCCTTCTATCCTCCGCTCTCACAGACACCTGAGGACCCGGATAGGTCTCCATCGATCTGGCGCTCCATGTATCGAGCATTTGGCCGTCCCATCCTGCTCAGCAGCACCTTCCGCTACTTGGCAGATCTGCTGGGCTTTGCTGGGCCCCTCTGCATCTCTGGGATCGTTAAGCAGCTAAATTATGAAAAAGATGTTCTAGTAGGCAACAACACAACGGTGAGTGTTTAAGATGAATGACCTGTGATCTCATATCTTTAAGAAAAGACGCCTTAGTACTGTTTACACGAGGCCAGCAGATTTTATCTACACAAACACATTTGTTTATGGACTTCTGTATAATGCATAAATCAAATGTCAGCTTAGCTTTTAAACAGGTAAAGTATAAGTTCTTTCCTGCCCATGATATACATGCTCTAGCTCTTATAATAAATGCAAAGAATTTTTCCCATGAATTTAAACCCTCTAAGCCAACCTGTTGGGGAGATATGATATTGTGACCTAAACGTTTGACCTAAAAGCGATGGGAGCGCTTAAACCTCCAAAGGGTTAAACCTTTCTTTCTTTCAAGCTTTTTTCCATCATCTCTGGTTGCATAATTACAGTTCACTATGGAATATTACGGCGTGTTACGAAGTCTGTTTTTTTTTACTGTATAGTGTGTTTTATATGACTGATTCGGACTCTAGAGTCATTTAAATTTTGGGTTTCTTCGTGTTTTATTTTTTAATTTCAGTTAGATTTCCTGCCTTTGCTCTTTTTCCCGCCCTGTCACTTCCACATAGTGTTCAGTTAGCAAATCAGCCTCCTGTGTGGACTTAATACTTGTAACCAAGCTTTCCTGTGTTCTTGGTGTTTTTTTAGTTTTCCTTTAGGGCCCTAATTGATTTCCTCATAAATAATGCTTTGGATGTTTGGTTGTTCACTTTTTTGTGAATTTTTTCTTAGCTGTGAATTTTTTGCCGACTGCGTCTTGCGTTTGGGTCCTCTTTCCTTTCAGAGGTGTATTTGTTTAAAAATGACCCATTCTGCTCATTTCCAGCTCTGCATTCTTGTTCTTGGACGTTTCATGATTCACAGCTCAGCATAAACATCATTTTTCTTATACTAGGTTTTGGTGCTAACATGTCAGAGAGCTGAGTGATTAAGATAACCTCATTAGGAATATAAACTCTCTCTGACATCATACATTTCTAAGAGTAGAAAAAACAGACTATTAAGCTTAGAGATTCACGCCTGAGCTTTAGGCTCTCAGGGATTGTTTATAACATACTTCATGTAACATAATACTAACCCTAATATTTGTTATTTAAAAAAATATAAGAATTCAGAATTTAACAATATAAAAACATCATAAAATAAGAAAAAGCAGACCTCCAGTATATGTAGTATGTTTTTAGAGATGGAGACGTAAAGAGTTTAATGTCATTCGTTTTCCCTTCTGAGAAATCATCCTGGAAACCTGAACCTTTACTCAGGCACAGCTGATGTCTCCAACACCATCAACAAGACCAAAGCCTTGTTAAGTGTTTATATAAGATCATTATATTAGTGGTTAAGGGAAGATCAGTGAAACATCATGGGTCATTAACACACTATAACTGTTGGGTGGTCTAGTCAGCCAAAGAGTGACTCACTCTAAGCACGACATCAACAAGGCGTTGGTCACAGTCGCCACATCGTCAACAGTTCGTGTGCGACGCCGTGTCTGACGTGATGATGATTAAGACAAAGTTAAAATGACATCACACACACTTTATGTGCAAGGGACCTTGTGGATGTAACTTTAACCAGAGCAGCTTCATGCCTGACTCCTAGCGTGAAACCAAACCTGCGTTTCACCTTAACTTTTAATATTTTTCCAAATGTTTTCTCATTTTTTATCTTGAAATCCAAAGTATTTTTCTTCACAAATAAATGAGCACAAAAAAACGCTTCCAGGACGTTGTCAGCAATAAAGGGTCTCCTGATGTCTGGAAGTGAAATTCCACTGAATTCCATATTTGCGTTTTTAGACATCAATGGTAGCAGACATTAATTTAAATTCAAGCAGATGATGCTGATTAGATTCAGTCACCAAGTTGCACCTTTTTATAGTAACTTCATACAGTTTCGGGGTTTGGAAATCAGCCATGAAGGACACATGACATCAGGTCATTTGCATAAATCCACAGAGAGCAGAAAATCTCCTCACCTGCCAATTCTTATTTTAACCCCTAGAGGCAGGGCCCAGAGGGGCTTACAATGAAGTGACATGAATGCTTAAGTTATGTGAAGTTTTTGTGTTACAAAAGTGGATTTTTTTAATGTGGCTAAATCACCATAGTAACTGATGCTGAACACATAACCAGGTCAGGAGCAGGTTATGTTCAGAATTTGGTTTAAAATTAACTGGAAGCACCACATTTTCATGAATTCTTTTATTTACGGTACATTTTATCTGCATTTATTTGCAACTTGCAACAAGCTGTACTTCAGTAAACCCACCAAATGAAGCCTTTCTGTTAACGCAGTGCACACTGTGTGTTAATGCAGTTAAAAACAGGTGCTTCACTTTCAGAGTGTGGTTAGTACGCCTGTATTGATGTAGAATCGAGTGTTCCACTTAAGGCTTTTATTTTGAAATGATACTTTATGTGGCATGGCCTTCACACAGTTAAAGTGACAGTGAGTGGGAGGCTGTGGAAAGGCCAGACTAGAATTGGGCTTTAGTTCAGTTGTCTCCCCTCAGTCTTTGTTAACTTGTTGTTTTATTCTTGAGTCTGAATTGCTCATTAACTTTTTGGATTTTTGTTATTTTCCTACAACCTCATCGCAGAAATGCTATTACTAATTTTCAGAATGGCTTCTCATTATGGACTTTATTATACTTGTATTAAGATACTGAATGAAAATGTTCCTAGAATGCAATTTTGATAATTCAAGTAAACCAAAAATTGTTCTTAAAATGGCTTTAAAAAAAATTAAGCTAATCCATTTGGATGCTCAGTTTAAATAATAACAGAATATCTGGCTTCCTGTCTGATATCTTAGCATAGACCAGCATGACTCATAATTAGCTCGACCAAACCTGCAGCTCGTACACAACATTACAAAACAATATAAATATCTCCCTACAATAAAAAGGGCCGACAGAGATCAAGCAGACTGGTCACGACAGCCTTTCTGGCAACCAAATATACACCAGCAGAAGTGATCATAGGCATCAACTCCTCTTAAATCCATGCCAACCTCTCCAAAGGTCATAAAACAGTCAGGGCTTGTAGGAGAGGCAGAACAGATGCTTTTGTAATGGCAGCGTATTTTCACACAGTCCACTTGGCTGGATGCTGGTATAGTAGATGTTAAGCTGTTGTCAGGTCTGTGCCTGCTGGTTAAAGTGGGTATAATGGGCAATAGAGATAGAGAGCAGAGCATGGCGGCATTTCTGAGTGACATGGAAAATTCCCCACTCACCTCACACTCTCTGCCTCAGTTTCACGTACACAGAGGGACTGCTGAGCGTCACTCTGGGATTTTTGAAGCAACAATTCATGTGTAATTTTTTCAATCCAGATTGATTTATCAGTGTATAAACATTTTTTACTGTGCTAGAAATGGGATACATGGATAAAATTCTAATGTGTATTTGTTTAAACGAATTCAGAAATGTAGAAACTAAACAATAAAATATTAGAATAAAATATTCTGTCTCTTTTTTGCCACAAATTTAAATATTTTATAAAATTGCTGTATTTGAAAATGCCAACCATGCTTTCTGGTTTAAAACCCTGGCTACATGGGGCTCATGGACAAAGCACTGAGAATCACCATGAATGGCACAGCCATCAGTTGCTTGGTTACCAGCTGAGGGATAACAATCAGTCTGGATCATAATTTACTTTCATCTTATTATCCCCTTAGAGTTGGAGGTCACTGCAAATCAATAGAAAGAGAGTGATCGCCTTTATCCTATGATTACGTAAATGGGAGTAGTTTCTCTCCAGGTGACAGAGGCTCTATCCATGAGTGGTTTCATGAAAATGAATCATGGTTTAGTCTCGACACTCACCAGAGCTCAACCTAAATGAACACTGATGGACTTTGCATCGATGTTTCAGACTTTGCTAAAATAGCAAGCGTTCCTTCCTTTTTAAGAGCTCCAGAGACTTGGACAATCATCTCTTTTTCCACAAAGCCCATAGACTATATGTAAATGGATTTAGCCACTATGGTGTAATTTGGGGGGGGGGGGATTTCCCCACTTCTGGTCTGCATGTCCCTCCTCAGCTAAATAATTTTTAGCCCCAGTGGGGATATAAAAATATAAAAATTCATCTCCTCTCTGTTTCAACATGCAGAGCTAAGAGCCAAACCATAGCACAAGAGACAATAAACCTGTTTCTGACTTTCACTTTTGGGACTTGCGATCCCAGAACAGTAGAGATGACACTGCTTATGAGAGAAAGACCCCAATCCTGTTCCAATTCAACTTCTTATTTTTACCACTGCTGCTGCAGAGTGAACACTGATTAAATGAAAGAAAAATGAAGTGGAATCTTAACACCAGATTTTACAGAAGATTCTCAATAAGTCCTAGAAATACTCTTTCTTTAGCTGATCATCTAGATAATTTCATAATAATTATATTAATAATAATAATTTTATTATTATTAAACTGAAAATGTTCTGCAGTTGCATTTTGATATTTTTTATTTACACTGAATGATAAAGAACATATTTTTGAAACACACTTATTTACATTGTTACTGATGAATGTCCAGAATATCCGTCCAAGGTTGAATTGAAAAACATCTGTATCTGAGAGAAAGTTTTCACATATTTTCTAGCAAATTTTGGTCTGTAATTGAAATAGGATATGCTCTTGTTAATCCACCAGCTACTATGGTTTGTGGAACAGACAACAGACTGTCATCAAATGAGAAATCAGTTTGACCTCTGATCAGGTTACAAAGAAGAATCTTATTTTTGTACCTGTTGTCTGCCTGTGTTTGTAGGTCACCCATTTCGAGAACTACCATATGTCTTCCCATGAGCTGCTGCAGAACAGCTCCATCCTGGCTGTTCTTCTCTTCCTGGCTTTAATCCTGCAGAGAACCTTCCTTCAGGCCTCGTACTATGTCACCATTGAAACAGGCATTAACATGCGGGGAGCTCTGCTGGTGAGTGAAGCATCGTGGAAAATGAACATTCGGACAGGTGTTTCAACACTCGGGTGTCACTTTGAAAAGCTCATCGTGAATGATTTCTATGATGCTTCAGAGTTTTATCAGCTCACACAGCCATTATCTGTCACCTCATGTGACACTAGGCTCTTTTAATTGCTGATGTAAGCGCCAGCTTAATAGCCACATAGAGGTTTCATTGGACACCTGTGTGTAACAACAGTCCGGTAGATTTCAGCTGGCAGTCAGTGTTGAACAGAAACATGGAGGAGGGTTAAAAATTTCCAGGGCTGATGTAAATCGATGATGTGAAGGCATTTAGTTAGCATTTCTATTTAATTCAGTTACATAAGTGATGGGTTTATTTATAGGAGGAGTCCCTCAGTGGGATAAAGTCTTTGGCATTCTACATAGTGCCGACACTGTCCATTAACCTATTAAAGCTAAAACAGGGCTTTTTTTTACAAATGTATTTAAAATGCTAAATTCTAAAAGAACGTGCTATGTTATAGGTATTTCTTTTCTTATGTATTTTTGGCATTTAGTCTTTATCAAGACAGGCTTGTGCACAGCGGAAGAAACAGCAAAGTTGCTTTCAATAAGCTAAAATTACTGATAACTGGTAGTGGTAAAAACTCCCATGGTAAATGTAATTAGATGTTATCCAAATATTTAGTAGGCATTTCTGCATAATTCAGTGATGGCAGTTATAAATATATAGATTCCATTAATGGGATATAGAGTGTCTGGCTCTCCATTAAAACCCAGAATAATACCGCTAGTAATGAATATATTCATGAAAACCACTGTGCCATGAGCTGGAGCCAGCTCAGCAGCAGACGGCAGACAATATTTTATTTCACTCTAAGGTAGGTACTAAATATCTAACCATTGTTTATTGAGGAACCAGATGGAATGTCCCAGTTCAAAGTACTGGCCCTGACTCAACTATTTCAGTCAAAAAAAGGTTGGTATTACCATCTGGATTTATTTCTTTCGTGATTTGGTTCTGGGACCAGTGTGGGACCCCACACTCAATAAACACAGACATGACATTGATGAAGTCAGGTGGGTTCCACAGCAGCTTGCAAATGCTCAGTGACCTTTTAAAACAAGGTGACTGCCTTCAAAATGTTGGCATTATAGATGAACTGATATGTCTATCTATCCATCATCTTAAACTTTCCTTCATCTGTCTTGTTATCCGTCTTGTCTAGGCAATGATCTACAACAAAATCCTGCGCCTGTCCACCTCCAACATGTCAATGGGGGAGATGACGTTGGGGCAGATCAACAACCTGGTTGCTATAGAAACCAACCAGCTCATGTGGTTCCTCTTCCTCTGCCCCAACCTGTGGGCCATGCCCGTACAGGTAAGATAAGCCATATCCTTAAACATATTTGGATATGTTTTACTCCTATCAATAGTTTTTCAAGTCAGGTCTTTTTGTTTCTTTGCAGATTGTGATGGGAATAATTCTGCTCCGTCATTTTATGGGCTCGAGTGCCTTGGTAGGAGCGTCTGTCATAGTTCTGCTGGCTCCGGTCCAGTACCTTATAGCCACAAAGCTGGCAGACACGCAGAAAATCACACTGGTAAAGAATATATTTATACAAATGTTTTCTCAGTTTAGAAAACAAAATTTCCTGCATAATTCTGAACAAAAATCTTCTTTGAATGTCTTATTTGCTATTTCAGGAACACAGTACAGACCGTGTTAAAAAGACCACTGAGATCCTAAAGGGCATAAAGTTGTTGAAGCTGTACGCCTGGGAGAACATCTTCTGTGACAGTGTGGAGGAGACCAGAGGCAAAGAGCTCACCAGCCTCAGGACCTTCGCCTTCTACACATCCATGTCCAGTAAGATGAAAATCAGTAGCAGGAGTTTTAAGTATGTGAGCAGAATGTCTGCAGACCAGCAGAAATGGAATTTGTTTGGCATGTACAGAATGAATCTTGTTTGAAACACCACACATATATTCAGCGATGGTTAGCATAAATCATTTTTCTAGGAAATTATTTCCACAGTACAACTTAACAAATTAAATTACGCTTTGAGGGTCCCGAAGAGCGCTATATAAATGCAATCCATTATCATTATCATCATTAATTACTGCACTTGGTTTTCAGGTAATTATATTTAATTTATACATGCTTCCCTTAGGCAGTATCCTTCAAAGCAATAGCATGCATTTTCACTGCTATGCAGATGGTATCCAGCTTGATCTATCCATGAAGCCAGATAACACACACCAATTAGTTAAACTGCAGTAGTGGCTTAAAGATATTAAAACCTGGATGACCTCTTTTTCTAAATTCAGATAAAACTGAGGTTATTGTACCCAGCCCTAAAAATCTCACAAACAGGGTGTCTAACCAGATGCTTACTCTGGATGGCATTACCTTGGCCTCCAGTAACACTGAGCAATCTTGGAGTCATCTTTGACCAGGATATGTCCTACAGTGTGCATATTAAACATATGTAACACTTAATATGAAACACTGATTTCTTAAATTTACACAATATCCTAAAAATTGGAAATATCCCGTCTCAGAGTGATGCTGAAAAACTAGTTCATCCATTTATTAATTCTGCACTGAGTGTTTCTTTTTCATTCCCCTTTTTTGCTCACAATGTGTTTACACAAAATATTGCCTTTAATTATTAGCTATTATTAAACTCTAGGTCTCTTCCACAGTGTCCTGTCTCCCACCCTCACCCCCAAAGATTTTTTCTGTATTATTGTAGGGTCTTTACATTACAATATAAAGTGCCTCTTTTTGTGATATAAATAAAACTGAATAATATTTTTTTTTTAAAAAGGGACTTAAAGTATGCTATAAAGCTTGTAATGTTACCTAAATCAGCTAAGTTACTATCCTACCAATAAAACCTGTTCCTTTTTTTTGTGCAGTTTTCATGAATGCTGCTATTCCCATTGCTGCGGTTTTGGCCGTAAGTCAGTTTTATTACAATCTGTAAAAGAATTCGGCTCTGCTTTAAATGTTCTACTTGCTTATTTCTTAAGCTATAATTCAACAGCATAAGGAAGAGATGTTAAACTTGTCTTTTGTTGTTTTTTTGCAGACATTTGTGACGCATCACATCCTCAATAAAAAAGGCCCCAGTCCTTCTCAGGCCTTTGCAGCTCTGTCACTGTTTCACATCCTGGTCACCCCGCTCTTCCTGCTTTCCACTGTTGTCAGATTTGCTGTGAAGGCTCTGGTTAGGTGAGTGTTTAGATTTATTTGTATTGTAAAAGGTTGTGGACAGCTGGTTGGGATGCTTTGACTGAAGGAGAGGGGATGTGGACATGACTAAACATGGAGTACAAACTGGACATGGCTTCAGCGGCAAATCTAATTAAAGGAACGTCAAGGAAACTCAACAACAGTGACGAGAAACTCTAAACTCCTGAGAGATTACCGGTATTGGAATCATCACAGTGTCACTGTTAATGGGCTGTGTGTGTGTGTGTGTTCTTACAGTGTTCAGAAGCTTGGTGAGTTTCTACAGAGTGATGAAATTGGAGACGACAGCTGGAGAAATGGTGACATATCTGTTTCCTTCGAAGCTGGAAAGAAACCCATGGGGATGGTGAGTTACGATACCAGATCAATAAAAAAGACCAATTAGGAAAAGTGCAAAAGTAACAGTTTGTATTTTTGACTGCTACACCTCTGAGCCTGTTTGGGGTATTTGAACATTTTACCACTCAGTGAAATGCAGGCCTAATCGTGTGGCTGTCTGAGTCTTTAGTCGCTTAGTGTCTGGTCTGCAGTGGGATTATCACTGTTTGTGTTCAAATGGACAGTCAGACCACAAAGCTGAGTGACTCACATGATTCATTAGAGCTGTAATGGTTTTCAGATAGGATTGTAGCAGGAAATTAAAAAAACAGCATACCCATTTATGACATATTTTTTCGACTCATTTTATTCTCACTCAAAATCAGCTAAAATTAGACAACATAGAAAATAAAACCCCGTAACAGTAATACCGGATTTTGTTTTCATCTCCATTATCATTTTATCGCCTCTACTTAATGTTAAAAACACATTTTTTTGACATTCTTTAGCAACTAAACTTCTTATGTCTGGAAACTAAGCAGCAGTCATGGGGTGTTTACTAAATGTAAGACCAAAGTGGAGATATTTGGCCATAAACGTAGCATGTCAGCTCAAACGCCTCATACCAACTGTCTGCACGATGGTGGAGAGATTATGATTTGGTATTGTTTTCTAACCACAGCACCTGGGCACCTTGCAGTCACTGAGTACATCATGATCTTCTCTGCACACCAAAATGTTCTAGAGTCAGATGTGAGGGCCTTTGCCTGACAACTAAAGCTTAACCCACAGAAATTGACTGTTACCTGCTTCCTAGTATCTCCAATGACATCAATCACATGCCCTTTTCTAGCTGGTCCATAATCCTCTGTTACGTAGCCAATATGGAGATCTTTGAGAGTGAAAAGTGTGACTTTCATGGATACAGCATCCTGGTACTTGGAGTACACTCACATACTGTAGCCTGACTACATCTTCTTGATGAATGTGTGAATACTTTTACTTTTGTGTGGAGATTTTAGTTGTGGAACTTCACGTGCAATTCAGAAACACTGATGAACTTTGTTTTTGTATCTGGATCATAAAATAATGAGGACTGAGTCCATTGGGGAAACGTTTTCTGCTTCCAGAGGAAGTACAGCAGATGCAGAAAAGTCGTATGTTTATTATCAAACGCTCACTCCCGTCTCTCCCTTTTTCTTTCGGTTGTCCCTCTCAAGACCAAAGCCATCAACAGGAAGCAGCCAATGCGCTACCAAATGGACAACTATGAGCAGCCAACCAGGCGACAGATGAGACCCTCGGAGACAGAGGATGTGGCTGTAAAGGTCAGGCTCAAAGTTTATGTGTTAGGGGAATGTTTACAGGGGTGTAGGTTAGATAGAGGCTATGATCACATGTAAAGTGCAACACATGGACCCACATCTGCCCATTTATCAATGAACTTTTTGTTTTTTTTGGCAGCTTTAGAGGAACTGGCTGTGATTTAATTTGTAGTAATGGACACCTCTGACTTTCCAGAGCTGTAGATGTGGGATAAAGAAAGTAGATGATGGGACTGGAAAGACATCCTTAGTATCGGAGCAGAAACCATTGTCTTGATATCTAACCCACTGGTGTCTTGGAGGGTTTTCAGCATGTGACACTAAGAGTGAGGGTTATGAGCAACACATTTAGGTGCAATGAACTCAGTTGTCCAGACTGACAGTTCCCTCTTAAAGGTAAATAGTCTTTTGAGGATGGTTATGCTTAGATGCAGAAGAAAGGTTTCTGTTTTGATGGGAATAAAGAGAGAGGAAACTCATTCAGCCGCGTTATTGGCTGCCTGTTCAAGGCAGGTGCAGGATTTCCCTGACAAACACACCTGGAGAGCGGACAGCAGACACGATAAAAGCACCATTTTGAGAAAAAGCATCAGATGGATAAGCACAGAAGGGCTGCGTGCTGTTGCTGCCACTTATCTCACTTTTATGAGCAGCTGTTTCATATCTTTATTGTTTATGCGTCCATGGGTTTTTGCCTGCAATCATACATGCGACATGCGTGTGTGCACATACTCTCACTCCTCTAAGGAAGTGCAGGATTCACATGAGAATTTGTTGTCCCTTAAAGGGCCTTGTGGATGTTTCCAAGGTTTTCTCAGCCCCTCTGTGAAGACTCCTCTTCCTGTCCCATCCCTGTGGAGTGACGCTATTCTCCAGATGGCAGACCCCCAATTAGAGCGGTAGCTTTTCCATGCTTGACACAGACCTTGTTGACTTATCAGTGTAAAACTTGTTTGTTATGCATTACACACACCCACATATACAAGGTTATGGCCATTTAAAGGAGTCCTAGTTTGCCTTTGCTTTTCCTTTTTCTATCAGATATGTATTTTGGTGGATGCTCATGTTAAACATGGCCAACCAACCAGCCATCCAAACTCCACACAGAAGGGTTTCTGTGTGGAGATCCAGATCCAGGAAAATCCGGACAGATTGCAGATATAGCATTAATGTTTGTGTAGTTCCCCTAAAATTCTGTGAATAGAGGAAATAGAAGCTTTTGTCTTCATCATACAGGCTTTAAATCAGTCTTTTGTTTTGTTCACTGTCATATTTACATATCATCAGGCCCATTTCCTGCAGCTGCACATTTTCTATTAAATATTTTGACTACATTTATCTGCTCTCAGCAAAATCTCATCTTTTTATTTTCACTCCCCTTTTTGCACATCTCCTCTCCCTGTCCTTTCTCCTTCCTCCCTTGTCAAATTGTTGATAGTATCTTAACTTGCTTTCCATTTTTATATACCTCATCCTGCTTTTTGTAATCTTGGTTGTTTACTTTTGCTCAGGAGCATGGACATACATCTGAGATTTCCCATGTGTGTTTTGGTGGTCATGCATGAACAGCCTGCTCAGTTGAGGTGTATTTATTTCTTAGTCACTCAGTGTAAAACAATGTCTAAATATTATAATCTTTATTTTTGGTGCTATAATCTTTTAAAAGAAATCTTTCATCATCTTATGATGCTCTTATATTCTTGATTCCTTTGGGATCTGGTCATCGGGAAAAGGAAGCTTTGAAGAAAGTTTGCAATTCAGGGGGTGTCCCGGCATAAAATAATAAAAATAAATAAATGCAACAGATGGGAGTAATGTAAACAGACTCCATGCATGAAGGGATGTAGACGAGGGATTAGATACACAAGTCTGTTACGTGCTGATCGGCGGGTTTCTGGACACAAATAATGAAGCTTTCAAAAATAAATTTCATTGATAGTGGAGCTTAAATTTAAGACTTCTTCCATTTAATCTTGCTTTAATGCCATGTCGTGAAGAAGCA